AGCCGCGGCGCCCCTGCTCGGCTGGGCTGCGGCTTTTCTGCTGAGGCGTGGCTGGGGAGCAGCCGGCGCACAGCCGGTATCTGCTCCGCGGCTTCTCTGCGTAAAGCCCCTGTCTTTCAGTGCGGGGCTTTGCTGCCCTGTCACAGAGGCACATACATTAGGTGGCAGTAACCAACAGGTGCTGTACTCACAAGCCAATATGCAAGGTGGTAAATGTCTACCATACTGATAAATATTTGAACACTGAAGTGTGGAGAATAGCACAAACACATACATACAAATTGTATATATCTGTTTATGTACATTTTTCTTTTTAAAATTATTCTTGCCACTGGAATAAAAAAAGTTAAAGAGGCAAATTATGCACTCAACTACATTGGCATAAATGTGCAGTAATTACACTTACTTCATTGAAATTACTCTGAATTGATACTTGTGTAACTAAGTCTGGATTTTTCTCCAAGATCTATGTTTAACATTTACTGTATATATATCTATATATGTACAAATTAATTCTCCAGAAATATTCCTTGCTCTGATAACAGGTAATCATAACAAGAGAGGAAAGAAAGTTCTATAACATGTTTTCTTCTAACAATTCCTTCAATTGTAACATAATTACATAGCTCACAATGAAAAAAAATCACTCTTTTAAAGAAGTAAACTGTACAGGAGTAAATGTCACTCCTGAAAAAGAAAGACCCTGGAGGCACTGTAATTTTACATAGGAGGAGTCCTCTAAATAGGCTCTTGCAACTAGTTGATGAAATGGAAACTAAAATAAAATGCATTGATGGACTGAACTGAAAAGTTTTTCTAGACAGTTTACCATAATTAGATTTACAATTACTGTATATAGATTACATAATAATGTCTAGGTTCTGTAGAGACCTTTGATTAAATTTCAAAAGATGTCTGTTTCTTGTTAATTATTTGCACTACCGTCACATCAAACCTGTCAGAGGGTAGAAATGCTATCTATCAGCTTTTCCAGTTCCACAGTAAAATATAGTCTAACAAAAATCCTTATGTTTCCATGCAACTATAATAATAGTCTACTCTAGGAAAACATGTGACGATACTTGCTGACATTCCAACCAGTCAAGATAGACTAAAATTATGTGCCATGGTTAGATAAAATAGCTGACAGAAAATCATATTCACAATTGAAATTAAGAAATAAGATGAATGTGCAAAAATCTCTCAGATATTGTTGTATACCCAAAGGAATAAATGGAATGGTCTATGCAATATTCTACTTTTGTTCTATATGCCTCTGATCTGAGAGTTGTGTACAGATTTGCACATTCCAATTGTAATTTAATATTTAAAATTAGACAAAGTACTGAAGTATTTACTGCAGAGAAGAATTCCGCAGTGGCTTCCTGGAGAAGGACTAGAATTATGATTTCTCTGATTCACAGCCCGAGTCCCCCACCCCACAAGTGTCCTTTAGGGAGGGCAGGGGCTCCCCCCCCCAATCAAACAGGGAGAACATTGCTGGCTATTCCTCTTCATCAGGAAGGATAGGGACAGCACACAGATTGTTGCATCCCTCACTCTAGGGCTACGTCTAGACTGGCATGATTTTCTGCAAATGCTTTTAACGGAAAAGTTTTCCGTTAAAAGCATTTGTGGAAAAGAGCGTCTAGATTGGCACGGACACTTTTCCGCACAAGCACTTTTTGCGGAAAAGCATCCGTGCCAATCTAGACGCGCTTTTCCGCAAAAGAGCCCCGATCGCCATTTTTGCGATCGGAGCTTTTTTGCGCAAAACAAATCTGAGCTGTCTACACTGGCCCTTTTGCGCAAAACTTTTGCCCGAATGGGAGCAGCATAGTATTTCCGTAAGAAGCACTGATTTCAGACAGTAGGAAGTCAGTGTTCTTGCGGAAATTCAAGCGGCCAGTGTAGACAGCAGGCAAGTTTTTCCACAAAAGCAGCTGATTTTGCGGAAAAAACTTGCCAGTCTAGACACAGCCTAGTTGGGGAGTGCAGGGGGCAAACCAAACTGGACCTGCCCCAGACTGGGGACATGTACTGCTCTCCCAGCTGTGTCCACTGGAGCTACAGCAGTCATGGAAAGGCACTTCTCATCTGGCCCTAAGCCACTGCAGTGCAAGAGGGCTGAGGTTGTCCTCTCCCTGGAGCAGTCTGAATACCTGACCCCTCTTCTCCAGCCCCACCCCGAGAGCAATGATTTCAATGAAGCATAAACGTTTTCATTTTATTTTCCAAAAACCAAGAATTAAGGATCCAAGCAAAGCTTCTAGTTGAATATAATGCAGAGATACAATAATTTTAAATTTCTGTCTCCTGTGATGTACCGATTTTGTAATTGTGGTGGTTATTAACTGGTACTAATGAGGTTACATAAAAAGGGCGGGGGAGGGAGGTTGGTAAATGTGTCTGCAATTTTGCTTCAGGTGACTTTACACTCGCTATATATGTGCTCTCGTTTTGCCGGGCTGGCTAAATCCGGATTAAGATGTGACAACCATCAAAACCATCATTGTGACATTTTCCCTCCGCAATGGTCTGACCTTTGGAGAAATCACATTTCTCCAACACTCCACGCCCATCCCCAGAGCTGCTGCACTAGATTAGCAAAGAGTGAAGCCACGTGACCAAAAGCAACATGCGGAGGCGCCCGCCTCTGCTTGGCTGGAGCGGAGGTGTCAGGGGATTTGCAGCCCTGGGGCCGGGATTCACGTGTGGCGCTGGGGCTCCAGCCTGGCTGGAACTTTTGTCAGCGCAAAGGTAAGAAGTGGCCCCCAGCCCCTTTTCAACGCCACTCTCATAAGGTAGCACCTCTCCCATTGGCTCCTTCATACCCTCCAGCTAATTGGCTGCACACCCTCCCGCCCTCAGCTTCGAAGGGGTTTAAGCGCTTTCCCCGCCTGCTCGGCTCTGCACGCGTTCTGATTGGTTGCCGTTTCCCGTCAATTGGTGTTAGGTGCCTGCCCCGGCGACTGCTCATTGGTGGCGCGCAGGCGACAGAGGGCGCCTCGCGCCGCGGAATAGGAAAGTCGGTTGTCGGGGTGGTGGAGCGGTATAACGCGCGCGCGTGAGGCGCGAAGTGCTCGCGCTGCCATTTCCCCTTCCCCAGCCCCGAGAGTCGCCGTTGGCGGTGAGACTCTGGCGGGGAGGGGCTGTTCAACGTTCCGCGTAACGGTCCCACCTCGTCGGGTGGGGCCGGGGAACTTCAGCCCGAAGTCTCTGAGCGGCTGCTGACGGGCGGCCCAGCGCGGCTGCGTGTCCGGAAGTCCCTGGGTAGAAGCGGGAGGGACGGGGAAGGGCTGTGGATGTGACTGTTGCTTCAGTGCCTCTAAGGCAGCTCCTAGAGACCCTCTCCCCTGCCATCTTTCACCCCCGGGACCCGCTCCCACCCCACACCTGCCCCTCCTGCTCCCTTCTAACAGCCTAGTATAGCACCGTGCCCCCAGCGCCCATGGCTTGCCGGCCGCGACCCCCCTCGCATCAAATACAGCGTGTCCCCTCCCCCCCACATAGGTCTTGATGTGCTCGGTTGTTTCTACAGATATCCCTAAGCCCCTTCCTGCCAGCCTGTTGGACTGAGTGGAGAAGAGGAAAATCTAATCGGTCCCTGTGGTGTCCTGCCAGCAGCTGAGACCTGTGATTGCCAAGGCAGGTGGGCGCTTCTGAGTGATCGCTCTTCCTTCTGGGTACACGTGGCCTGCACACTGCCCACCAAGATAAAAGTAACCCAGGCGGCAGTGTCTACACTTAAAAAGCGTCAGCGCGCAGCCACTTGCTACCGCTATGGCTGGTTTCTCCCCTCACTGTAAATAATCTGCTGCCTTGGGAAGCAGTAGTGTACTTAAACTGATGGAAAAATTTTTCAGTAAACCTGGCACCATCCACACTGTGAGGGTTAGGTTGGCTTAATTATGTCAGGGGGCAGATGCCTATAGATGGAGCTATGCCACTGTACATTTTCAGTACAGACAAGTCCTAACTCACTCCGTGTGGCCAGTTGCAGTCATGCAAAATAACTTACCTATCTTTATGTGAGCCTAACATTTGCCTGCGCAATGTTGAAAAATGTAGATATGCAAGTTTGTACACATACTTACAAGTGGAGGCTACTTTGGAAATGATGCTCTTAATGTTAGTGGTGTTTGAAGTAATTCTCTTTTCTGTTGTTTTTTATTTTGATTTAAAAAAATACTGTTCCTGAAAAAAATCTTCATACAAAATGCATTCCTGAAATTATGAGGAATAATAAAGATCTAATTTATTTTATTTAATAGTTTTGCTTGGAGTGGTTTTATTTGCTTAAAATATTTTTGACTTAGACTTTTAAAATTGGATATTAAGCATGTCCACAGGTTTACTATGTTTATTCACTTGTGCAAGCATAGTTTATCGCTCTACTGGTTTGCTCATTTTAAACATTGCTGACATTAAATTTATAGTAGTGAAATTTTCAAACTTGACTTAGAAGTTTAAAGAAGGTCATATGAGTGTTTTTAAGTCTTAATTGTTAAATTCAACTCGAACTTTTCTTTAAAGATCAGTTGGAATTGAGCATGTTTTGAAACACTGTGGAGAAACCAAAGTCTTTTAGTTCAGTGATTCTCAACCAGCGGCCTAGGGCTTTCTGGGGCCCGCTGACAAGTTTGGGGGGCCACCAAGCAGGACCAGCATCTAACGTTTAATCAGTTAACCCATTTAACTGTTGAATTAGTTAACTTAATGTTTAACTGATTAACTAATTAAATGGGATTTTACATCCCTCATCTAAACTGAGTTAAGGTTATGCCATGACATGCTGACTTGAAATATTTATAATGATAGATACTAACCACACTTTTTTCAAACTTCGTTGATTTTTTTTCCTTACTAAGAACGCAAGTAGGTTACTTTTGAAGAAAGTGAGTAGTAATTAATGTTTGGAGGCAGCAAAATATATCCTTAGATTTAACAGAGGCTTTTCTAACTCCAGTCAGGCTGTACCTCACTATTGCCTCTTAGGGTATGTCTGCACTGCAAAGGAGGATCGAAGATATAGTTAAGAACGCTAATTCGAAGTGAGAGGGGCACTCCGCTTGATGTCGGTAACCCTGATTTCACAAGGAGTAAGGGAAGTTGAAGGAAGAGTGTTGTTCCTTCAACTTCCTGCAGTTTAGATAGTGCCGAAAGCCAAGTTAAGGTACCTCGACTTCAGGTACTCAATTAACGTTATCTTAATTCAGCTTTGTCCTGCAGTGTAGATATACCCTAAGAACCTTCTTTCTAGTTTCCAGGCCTCAAGAAATACCACCTGGTTGTGAGCTAAGTCTCTTTTAATAGCTTTTAATGAAGGATATAAGTAAGGCTGTTTGCAATCCAGGATGGTATTACCAAAAAGATAATTCTTTAATTCATGCATATGTGCATACATGGAGCTTCATTACACTTCTGCACATAAACTGTCACACATCAGTGTCATGGTGTAATTTGTGACAGGCTCCAGTAAGGGTCCTAACTCAGATCTGCCTGGAAATAATTAAATCCTGAGAGGGTGGGTTGGTAACTAATTAGCTAATGAGACTGATAAAAGGGTTGTCAGAGTTGAGGCGGTTTCTAGAAACAGGAGTCCTCTGAGGACAGGAGTGTCCAGAAGAGTGGTGCAGGAGAGCTCACCAAAGCAAGGGCCTGGGAGCTTTTCTGAGGGATAGGGAACTGCCAAACAGTAGGAGGAAACTCAGCCTTATATGAACTATATATGCTGCCCTAGAGAAGAGCTTCAATGGACGGATCTCTGCAGATCCTGACTCTTAGTAGTGGCATGAGTCCTTATTCCAGGAAAGGTCTTGAACTGAGAAATCTGTTGGAGAGGGAATAAGGATGTTAAGGACTAGTTGACTATCCGATAAGCAAATGCTTATTGGATAGTCAGTCAACTCAGCCTTATATGAACTATATATGCTGCCCTAGAGAAGAGCTTCAATGGACGGATCTCTGCAGATCCTGACTCTTAGTAGTGGCATGAGTCCTTATTCCAGGAAAGGTCTTGAACTGAGAAATCTGTTGGAGAGGGAATAAGGATGTTAAGGACTAGTTGACTATCCGATAAGCAAATGCTTATTGGATAGTCAGTCAAGCCTCTTATCAGAGAGAGGCAGCAAAAGGGAGGGAGAGGGGGTACTTCAAAGCGGCAGTGCCACACAGCTGAGCCCGGGATCATCTGAGCTGTGCTGCCCCTTTGAATGCCACTTCGGTGTTTCAAAGTGGCAGCACCGCGCGGAGCCTGGGATCAACTGCGGAATTCCCAGCTGGCCCCGGATTCTGGGGAAATGCTGCGCGGAACCTGTGGTCAGCTGGGGAGACCTCAGCTGGTCCCGGGCTCTGCATGGCATTTCAAATCGACAGCTCAACATGGAGCCCGGGGTCAGCAGGGACTCTGAATTCCCTGGTGAACCCAGGCTCCATGAGAGCACTTCCCATTTGAAATGCACAAGAGCCCCTGCAGGGGAGTCTTGTACATTTCAAAACTGGCACACCTGTGTACAATCTGGAGTCAGCGGGACTTCCTGCTGGCCCTGGGCTGCAGGTGGAGTTCTGCATTCCTCCTTGGAAATGTACAAGAGCCCCAGCGAGGCTTCTGCATTTCAAAGGAGCAGTGCGGAAGTGCCTATTGACTAGTCGAGTAGTCGATGTAAATTAACCGATATTTAACATCCTTAAAAGAAATTGTGTATCCAGGTGGGAATGTATAAACTGCTACTTGAGTCTTAAGACTCTCTGGGGTGAATATTTACTTGTATTTTAATTGGGCTTTAGCTGAATAAGGTGAGGCCACATCTGGAGTATTGTGTCCAGTTCTGGGCCCCCCACTATAGAAAGGATGTGGATGCATTGGAGAGGGACCAGCAGAGGGCAACCAAAATGATTAGGGAGCTGGAGCACATGACCTATGAGGAGAGGTTGAAGGATTTGGGTTTGTTTAGTCCGCAGAAGAGAAGAGTGAGGGGGGATTTGATAGCAGCCTTCAACTTCCTGAAGGGAGGTTCCAAAGAGGATGGAGAAAGGCTGTTCTCAGTAGTGACGGATGGCAGAACATGGATCAATGGTCTCAAGTTACAGTGGGGGAGGTCTAGGTTAGATATTAGGAAAAACAGTTTCACTAGGAGGGTGGGGAAGTATTGGAATGGATTACCTAGGGAGGTGGTGGAATCTCCATCTGTAGAGGTTTTTAAGTCTCGACTTGACAAAGCCCTAGCTAGGTTGACTTAGTTGGGATTGGGCCAGCTTTGGGCAGGGGGATGGACTTGATGTCTTCCTGAGGTCTCTTCCAGCTCTATGATTCTATGAATAAATTAGATCCCTTAGAGTATTATTCCTGACATAAGGCCTTTTCATGAGGTAGAAGTTAAAATAACTTATGGTGGTGTTTTTCTGGCTTTTGGTAGCTATTGTATATGAGTAACTTTGGAATTCTGTATTGTGAAATTTTATTCTAATGTTTTGTTGAAGATATTGCAAATATGCATGATGAAAGTACAGATGTAACAAATGGATGCAGCAAAGTTCGAACTGGTACTCAAAATGAGGCTGCCTTACTAGCTTTGATGGAAAAGACTGGCTACAGCATGGTTCAAGAAAATGGACAAAGAAAATTTGGTGGTCCTCCACCAGGTGAGCATTTGTTTGAAATGATAGAAGTATAAGGTGAAGTTCTGCCTTTATTTGCATCCAGCATGCCATTGAAATTGACAGCAAAGAAAACAAAGAATTGAAAATACATTGTATTGCCCTGCTGGGTAAAGTAAGCCCATGCCGTGCCCCTTCCACCTAACGCCACACTTTTCCTGTGAGACCACTCCTCTTCAACAACCTCCCCTCTCAGCTAAGCCCCTCCCTGTACCAGCCCTCAAGCCTTGTCCTCCCCAGCCACCTGGAGGGCCAAGGCTGCAGCCCTTCCTGGCTGCCGGGGAGCTGGGCTGCCAAACCTCAGGCCCAATTCCTTCCCTTCCCTACATTACTCACCACTCATGGTTAAGGGCTTTCCCTTCACCCCTTGTGGTTCTTATCATGCAGACAGAAACCAGATGATCAGAAATTGTAAGTGTGGGCAGTGTGATGTTTATTGTGATTAACTATATCTGTTGCTCTGTATACCATAGAGCCTAACCTGACCCCTTTATTCCCACTTCCTCTTCCTCCTTAGGAAGCTTAATTATACTATCGTGAACACCCCTTGTCTCACCCCAACATTTTATGGTTTTATTCTGTATTGGAGGGTTTTGAGTTTGGGGGCTTCAGTACCACTCTACTTTGTATCCCATGAGAGGGATAAGAAGCAGGGATGTCAGTGTGTAGACAACTACATGATTAACGGATAAGCCTGGGTTTATTGGTTAATCTTGTCAACTACATGCATTTCTGCACTCCCCTCCCCCCCCCAACCAGAGGCAGCAAGGTGGGGGCTGTGGGGAGCTGATTGAAAGCTGGCTGCACATGGACATGGGATCTGCCTGTCCCCTGTCTGATAGAGACAGCAGCACGGAGGGGGGGCGGGAGCTGATATGCGCAGGGAGCCAGTTTTTAAGCAGATCTCTGCACAGGCCGGCTCCATGAACATGGCCTCCTACAGAGGCAGCAGTGGAGAGGGCAGGCAGGAGATGGTGCTGGGGGGACCTGGCTTAAAGCCTTCCCTTGCCTACATTACCTATCAGAGGCAGCAGCTTTGGGGACAGGGAAGCAACAGTACAGGGTGGCAGGTGGGAGCTGGTCTGCGCAGGAAGCCAGTTTTTAAAACCAGCTCTCCTTGCAGACTGGCTTCCACCAGCCACTCTGTGCTGTTGCCTCTGATAGAGAGGCAGCAGCGCGTGGTGGCAGGGAGCTGCCTGAGAGTTGGGCTGCGATTGCACTGGCTGCCAGCCTTGCCCTTGGGGACTATCAAATAGTTGTGTAACTGCCAAAATTTGATGCAGTTACACTAATATTCAATTATGTGCTAACTAACATCCCTAGTAAGAGGTCAGGTTATGTTTCAGCCAAGATCACCTTTTATCTTGCCTCTCCTGAATTTTTGCTTGACCTTGTTTAGAGATAGGAGTCAAAGCAGTCTTTGGGTATTCACTCTTATATTAAACTTCTAGCATACCCAGTAAGACTTTAATTCTCTTGCTTCTCATTGTGCTATAAACCTTATTGGGTAGGCAGAAAAAACGCACAGTGTTTTTGTTCACATATTAGACCATAAAAATATTTTAAAACCCCCCAAATTTAGCTCAAGGTAAGAGCTGCCTATATACTAACATATATGTGCAGTGTGACTGAGGTAACATGGAAAAAGACACTTTAACTTGTATAATTTCTTGAATTGAGTGCTTTATTGCCTTATGTAATATAACAATAATGGAGTTATTTATTTTATAATTTTCTTTTTGTTCTGGCCTGGAAAAATCAATGAGTATATTACGTTTGCTGGCAGTTCAGGGCTGTGAATAGTTTGTCTTGCTTTTTTGGAGTTAATACATGTTATTTTAATAACCGTTTCTTTGTTTAAGATTACACTTAGCATTCTGGGTACCATGCACGGCACGGTCAGTTTTACACATATGATTTTAATTTTGAATCAGTTTTCCTCAAATTGAATTGGAGCTTTAAGTCACCTTGAGATTTACAGCCATTTTGAATTGATATTTCACACTTTTGAAGTTATGAATACAGAATTTCTGATTGTAATATTCCATTTGGATAATTCAAGATAAGCTCTATGAATTTCACTGAGACTTAAAATTATTTTTATGCTGAATAAAATAATTAAATATTAAGCACAAATGATTTTATTCATAAAATTACATGAACTGCGTTTATATGCTCCAAAGCCATTGCAGGTCACTTTTGCAAGTCTCGGTGGTTTTGGGCTTAATTCTACTTCAGTGTTAATTCATAGGTAGATAGCTAGCTAACTTTTCTTGAGTTAACTGAGCTAAAATGAGAGCAGTTATGCTGAAAAAGATCACTTGAGCAACCTAAAGTGTATGTGTCGCTCTGTAGAATAGCTGAGGTATTTACTGTAAGGGTATTTAGATGCTGCAAATGCCGAGCTTAGTAATTCCTAAATACCTTTAAAAAGCTGGACCTGAGACCCTATTGCATTACTAGTTCAAGCATCAGCAGTACTTGCGCTTCAGTTCTCCTTCCCCCAACACCTTAATAGGCTAGCAAGTTTGAGCTTAAACCAGAGATCGGCAACCTTTCAGAAGTGGTGTGCCAAGATTTAATTTATTCACTTATATTTACAGATCTGTATGCCAAGGGGAAGGGCAGGGGCAGGCTGGGTACAGTGATAATATTTTCAGAACCAGCCGCAGCTAGGGAGAATGATTTAATTTAAATTATTAAACAGATTCAGCATGTTAACTTTCTCATGTTAGTTTATCAAACTTAATTTTAAATAAAGTAAAATATTAATTTATGTCCAATGTTAAAGGTTTCAATGTTTTCTTTCTTTATGGCAGATGTGGCAAACTTTTTTGGGAGTTGGTGGCCACTGATGCACAGAAAAATCACTTGGGGACAACACAAGTGAGAAGGGGGAAAAAAAACTCTGCAAAACCCCCCAACCCTTACTGATGTGGCCCATAACTGAAACACCTCACTCCTTTGGCTTTCCAGCCCCACGGGGTGAGGGGAAGGTACAGGGCTTCCCATAGGCCAGATTTACTTTTCTGAGGTGCCAGAGTTAATTGATTTTATGGACCCCTTAGTTTCTGGGGTGGGGACAAAAATGAGGGGTTCAGTGTGCTGGACAGGGCTGCCAATGTGTAGGATAGGTAAGGGGTGTAGGATCTGGGCAGAGGGGAAGAGGTTGCAAGAAGGGGAAGAGATTGCGAGGTCTGGGTGGGAGGTAGGATGCAGAAGTAGGGTGGGAGTAGGGTCAGGAGGGAGGGTGTCAGAGCAAGCTGGGGATGTGGGGTCTTGGCGGGGGGAGAGAAGTGAGTGAGAGGGATTGGAGTGTGGGGGTCTGGGCATGAGGGGGGACACTTACCTGGCTTTGTGCCCCCATGCAGTGGGGAAAGCCTCAGGACAGCACACTGCTGTTCCCTCAGCAGAATGGGAAGGGGGACAGAGCCCGCCCCCCCCCCCACGCAACAGGGATCCCAGTGCAGTGGGGGTGTGTGAAGAAACCCCGACCTTCACTGCCAGACCCGGCTCACTGATGCTCCCCCAGTGGGGCAGTACACGGAGCACATCTGCTGAGCCCGAGTGTGCCCCGCCCCACAGCACCTCAGCCAGCCTCTGTGTGGCCCTTGCCGGGTCTGAACCAGTAGCTCCAGGGCACAGAGATCTGGGAGCAGCTCTGCCGGGTTTTATCTTGGGCTCGCCCTCCCCCCCCTTCTCTGGTAGCAGCAGCAGCTGCTGCTGTACCAACAAGTGGCCTGGAGGAGGAGGTGGCACCCAGATCAGCACCACACATGCCAGAGGTAGTCCCATGGGGAGAGGGAAGGGGCTGCACTGCCTGTGGTGGTGGTGTAGTGGGTGGTAGAGTGACTGGAAAATATGCGACACCGGAAGCCAGCTTGGCTGCCCACTGGTAAAGCTCCAATGGAGTTACCTACACAGTCTGCTAGGGTAGGGGAGGAGTCTGTTCCTTATGGGGTGCAGCAATGTCAGTGCACGGAGCCATTTCTCAGTCATTGCTTCCCCTCAAGCCAGTGTCCCCATCAAATAGTGAAATATTCGGTGGGGCTTTCCGGGACATTTCACTACTTGATGGGACATCAGAAGAGAGTATTTAAAATCATATTTTAAAATCGGAAATGCCCTTATGGTCGGCATTACGGATCTGGCGGGGAGGTTCATGTACCAGTGAAAATTGGCTTGTGTGCCACTTATGACACACATGCTGTAGGTTACTGACCCCTAGCTTTACTATCACTTTCAAATGGAGACTTGTGTGTATGCACTAAGGATGTTAAAATGCCGATGATTAGCTAATCGAGTAGTCGTTGGAATTTTCATCAACTACTCAATTAGTTAATACAGGAGAGCAGTCACTACCCCCACTGTGGCTCTGCAGTTCAAATGGAATAGGACCCGGGCTGTTGCCTGGCTCCTACTCCAATTAAACTACAGAGCTGCAGCAGGGTTAGCTGCCCAGTGAGGTGGGAGCCGGGACTAAACAGTCCCCCACTTGTACCACCCTAGGAGCTAGCCCGCTGCAATCACTTGACATTTTCAGCAGTTAAATGTTTACACATGGGCAGGGGGGAGCAGCTCTTCTAATTGCTTTATTGTAAATTAGTAAAAATTCTTATTAAAAAAAAAAGCGCCAAAATGCTGGATGGGGTTGTCTTGTTTTCAGAGCTGTAAGGAGTCAAGAAAAGATAACATAAATCAACACAATAATTTTCTAACAGCATTATCAATAAATCAAATGTGCTTACAAATCTGAAAAAATACTGTTTGAGAAAGTTTCTGGTTATGGTTTCATACTTACTTGTTGCTGGACAATTTTTTAAGGTTGGGAAGGTCCTCCCCCACCTCGTGGCTGTGAAGTTTTTGTGGGAAAGATTCCTCGTGATATGTATGAAGATGAATTAGTTCCTGTTTTTGAGAGAGCTGGGAAGATTTATGAATTCAGGCTGATGATGGAATTTAGTGGCGAGAATCGAGGATATGCTTTTGTGATGTACACAACCAAAGAAGAAGCCCAGCTGGCGATCAGGATCCTTAATAATTATGAAATTCGTCCAGGAAAATTTATTGGTGTCTGTGTAAGCTTAGACAACTGCAGGTTATTTATAGGAGCTATTCCAAAAGAGAAAAAGAAGGAAGAAATCTTGGATGAAATGAAGAAAGTTACAGAAGGAGTGGTTGATGTTATTGTTTATCCAAGTGCTACTGACAAAACTAAAAATCGTGGCTTTGCCTTTGTAGAATATGAATCTCACAGGGCTGCCGCTATGGCTAGAAGAAAACTAATCCCAGGTAAGGTTTTAATTGTATTATTAAATGTGAAATTTAAAAACTAAAGCATTTATAATAGATAGCTACTTTTAGATCTGTACTTACACTACCTTTTATCTTACTCAGTTGATTTCAATAGGATTGGTACACATGTAGTTATCCTGAATAGGATTATTTTTTTAATTGAGGCCACTAATTACAGAGACAGGGGAAGGGATGAATACACTGGAATTAAGTAAGGCAGAGAGAGCAAAAGAAGAGTTGGAAGGAAAAGGAGAGATGGGATCAGGGGAAGCAGAGTTGGAGAAACAAAGGCAAAAAACCGAATACCACCAAAAGACAGGGCATGAAATCCTGGCTCCATTGAAATGGTTGACAGAACTTGCAAATTATGCAAATTATGCAGGAATTTGCATATCTTCTTCTGATCTCACTTTCGAAAGCAGAGCTTTCAAAAGTGAAAATAGTCAAGACACTTTTTTTTCAGCAGCCTCCCCCCCCCTTTTTTTGAAAAGCCGCTCTACCTCAAAAAATGAGATTTACATGGCTTTTTGAAAAAGGGGGGGGGGGGGTTGCCAAAAAAAGCCTCCAGATTACTTTCACTTTTGAAAGTTCTGCTTTCGAAAGTGAGATTCATAGGAATTTGCATATCCTCTTTTGACATTTTAGCATAGTCTAGATGAGCCCTTATTGGCTTCACCCAAAATCTATTATTGGTAGCAGACAAGAAGCATTGACTTCATCTAAGCCCTTGAAAATAAATAGAAGGAATAGTAAGGCACACTCACCACATGTAAGAAAAAATGTAGAGCACTCAGATTTCATCTTGATAAAAATATAACATGCTTTATCACCTTAACTAAATTTCTTTTAATATATGTGGAGAAAATGAATTAACACACATTGCATATTGTCCTTCCCCCAAAAGTGTGACTATTTTAAAAGTACATTGTCACCAACTAGTAATTTTTTAACTGCTTGAAATTAAACAGATTTCACAAAAACAATCATCTTTAGCAAAACTGGTACTGGTTGTGGCTGAAGCAGACAGTACTTATTTAAACATACATTTTGCTATAGAATTTTTTTTACAAAGTTTAATTTTCTAGCTATGACTTTGTTTAGCTAAGTGAATGCAAATAAAACATTTAATAGTTGTTTGTTTCAGAATTAGTACTAAAAGTAACAGTTTTGTTTTGCTGTTTTGGTTTCTGGAATTGTTTGAATAATACTTATCACTTAGCTATCTTTTTTCAGCATGATGCATTTTACTTAAGTCTAACACTTCTTTGTTCTAGGAACATTCCAACTATGGGGACATACTATTCAAGTAGATTGGGCAGACCCAGAGAAAGAAGTTGATGAAGAAACAATGCAGAGAGTTAAAGTGTTGTATGTAAGAAACTTAATGATCTCTACTACGGAGGATGCAATTAAGGCTGAATTTAACAAATTCAAGCCAGGAGCAGTTGAACGTGTAAAGAAACTGAGAGACTATGCTTTTGTTCATTTTTTCAACCGAGAGGATGCAGTTGCAGCCATGTCAATTATGAATGGAAAATGTATTGATGGTGCTAGTATTGAGGTAACACTGGCAAAACCTGTAAACAAAGAAAGCACTTGGAGACAGCATCTGAATGGTCAAATTAGTCCTAATTCTGAAAATCTTCTAGTTTTTGCTAACAAGGAAGATGGCCATCAAAAATCATTAGGAAAATCAGCAAATCTTTCAATTCGCCTTAATGGTCAGCAGAGTCCAAGCCCCCCTGAAATTGAAAGGTGTACTTACCCGTTTTTTCCAGGCACAAAGCTTACTCCAATTAGCATGTATTCTTTAAAATCCAATCATTTCAGTTCTGCAGTAATGCATTTGGATTATTACTGCAACAAAAACAACTGGGCACCACCAGAATATTATTTATATTCAACAACAAGTCAGGATGGTAAAGTACTCTTGGTATACAAAATAGTTATTCCTACTATTGCAAATGGATCCCAGAGTTATTTTATGCCAGACAAACTCTGCACAACATTAGAAGATGCAAAGGAATTGGCAGCCCAGTTTACATTGCTACATTTAGGTAAGTTTAACAATTGTTTTAATTAGTTCTTAAGAATTGAAACCAAAGAAAATTACTTAAAATTAGTTCTGTGTATATGTAACCTACATATTTGCTGACTGTGGTCTAAGTGCATCTTTTCACTATTCTCAGCTGACCATTCTAGAATTTTAGTGTGGTGTCACTGTTGATCATCATAAATAAGAAGCACAACACTAAGGCAGTGATTCTCAAATTGCAGTCCGCAGACCCTTAGTGGTGGTCCACTAATGGCTGCTGTACAGGTGGGCCGTGGCTTGAGACTCAGCCTCCTCCTCTTCCCTGTAGTGAGGAGCTTGCACTGGTGCGCTAGCCCCACAGCCTCCAAATGAGGTTGGAGCAGGAAGCTCTGTGCACTGCTGTTCCCCTTCCCCCTAACTGGAGAAACGACAGTGAACAAATGTACTGCCTGAAGGTTTTCCCCGCTGCTCCCATTGGCCAGAATTGCAGTCAGTGGCAGCAGTGGGGGTGGTGTCTGAGAGCAGCTGGGGAGCGTGAAGCCAGGTAAGCACACCATTATCCCCTTCACATCCTCTCCCCTTGTTGAGCCCCCACTTTCCCAGCTTTCTCCAGCACTGTTCCTCCTGGCCAGACATCTAATTCCCAGCTTGCTTCTGCGCCTTCCCTTGCCTCCTGCACCCTTCCTCGTGACCAAACACCTTACCACCAACCCACACTTGCACCCTCTCTCCTAGCCAGAACCTCCCCCACCCCACTTCCAGCCTGCTCCAGCATCTTATCTCCCATTCAGACTCTCCCACCCTAACCACCATCCCTATGCCACTCCCTGACAGGCCTCTCCCACACACTGATCCCCCTCAGTTTTGTCCCCACCCATCAGTTTTGGCCATCTAGGGAGGCTCTCAAAATCTACTAGCCCCAGAACCCCAAAAGAGTTAATCTGGCCTGTGGGAAGCCGTGAACCTCAGTCCTCCCTGTTTCTCCCCGCCCTGCTGCTGTGGTGCTTGATATGGGAGTGAGGTATCTCTTTTGGGGGCTACATTGGTGAGGGTTGAGAGGGTGATTTTGAGGTTTTTTGTCTTTCACTTTTGTGTGGCCCCAAACTGATTTTTTTTTTCCTGTGGATCAGTGACCCCAACCCAAAAAAGGTTCCCCCCTCCTGCCATAAATAAACAGAATGCTGAAACCTTTTGTTTTGGACATATATTCATATTTTATTTTATTTAAAACAAAGTTTTGTAAACTTAGCATGATAAACAGATTAAGCACTGTAACTTTAATTATTTTGATTTTGAGTAAAAATAATTCCTTTCTTCTCAGTTATATATGTCCCCTTATGTTATAGCTGCATATTTAAGTTTTGATGTTCCAGTAGACTTATGTGAATAATTAAGTATTTAAGTTATATAGATCAGGGGTTCCCAAACTTTATTACACGGGGACCCCTGCATTTTGAATTTGCCTACACTCGCCAAGGATTGCTTAAAATGGAGAGAAGTCCTACACAGTGGCCCCCTGCATTTTGAATTTGCCTACCAAAAAATCTGAGAAGGAGGAGAAGAGATACAGGAGAAAAGGGAGACTGGCTTCTAGTCATGGTCAACAGCCTCCTGCTAGAGGAGGCTAGAATCATCTGTCCTCTGTGTAATAGAACTTGTGGTTCAAAAATCAGCCTTATAAGTCACCTGAGGATCAACATCTCTCATGGAAGATGATCATATTCAGCAACAAGTGATCACCCATCATCATCAGTGTAAATAGAGTTTTATTGTTAGTGTTTATTTAGTATTATCATTAGATAGTGGGGAGGAATGTGGTCCTCCCTGTCTTGGGGGCTGGGGCATGCCTTGGTCCCAAGGTTTCAAGCCATGTGCTTCTTGTCAGAACTTTATACCCTTGGAAGATCCCCTCGAATCTTGCTTTAAGTTCTTGGACAAAGGACATCAAACAAACAAGTGGGTTTTTATCCCAGAACTAAAGAAGAAAAGGACTTGAGGCTTAAACTCTTCCTGATGGAGTCAGACACAGCTGGGCTTTAATCTCCCCCCTTTTCCTCCTCCCTGTCCATAGGTCCTGGTTAACCAGTTAAACGTAACATTTATTTGGTTAACCTTTTTAAATGGGATTTTACATCTCTACTTTCTATCCATCTTATAGTACATTAATCCAAGCCATACTTCTTTAACTTGCTGGCAAGAATACTATGGGAAACAAGTATCAGAGGAAAAGCAGATATCTATGGATTTGACAGGCTCTATTGATTACCTTCTATGATGACACAACTAGTTCTGTGGATACGGTAAAAGTGGTGGGTGTGACATACCTTGACTTTTCCAACGCTTTTGATATCATCTCCCATAGAACAATGAAAAGCCCTGTGACACCTTATAGACTAACAGATTTATTGGAGCATAAGCTTTCGTGGGCATAGACCCACTTCGTCAGATGCATGTAGTGGAAATTCCAGAGGCAGGTATAAATATACAGGCATAAGAAAAGAGTTCCAGTCAAGAGTAATCTCTAGCCTTACTCTTGACTGGAACTCTTTTCTTATGCCTGTATATTTATACCTGCCTCTGGAATTTCCACTACATGCATCTGACGAAGTGGGTCTATGCCCACGAAAGCTTATGCTCCAATAAATCTGTTAGTCTATAAGGTGTCACAGGGCTTTTCATTGTTCTATGGGAGATGATATCAAAAGCGTTGGAAAAGTCAAGGTATGTCACACCCACCACTTTTACCGTATCCACAGAACTAGTTGTGTCATCATAGAAGGTAATCAATAGAGCCTGTCAAATCCATAGATATCTGCTTTATATCCACGGGTATCCGCATCCGTGGATGTGGAAATCCTTGATTGATATTTGTTGATGTGGATACAAAATTGTGTATCTGTGCAGGGCTGTAGTAATCAGGTTGGTAAGGCATGACTTGCCCTTGGGGCATGCATGTTGACAGTTCCTGATCACCTTTCTCTCCTCCAACTGTTTCAAAATTAATTACTTGAGGACTTGCTCCATGATTTTTCCAGGGACTGAGGTTAGGCTGACCTGTCTCTAATTCCCCAGGTCCTCTTCCTTTCCGTTTTTGAAGATGTTCACTACATTTGCCCTTTCCCAATTGTCTGGGAGACCCTCAATCCCCAAAAGTTTTTAGAAATAATGGCCAATGGCACTGAAGTCACATCAGCCAACTCTCAACACCCTCAGATTCACTTGATCTGGCATATCCAGCTTTTCTAATTTTTTTTCTACATAAACTGCATATTCAGCTCTTCTAAATATTCCTTTGTTAAGGAATAGCGAGAGAGAACATGTAAACACTAGACAAGATTCTTATTTTGACCAGGGTCGTCAGGAACAAATCAGGGAAGGAATTGTAGCTGAATGAAAAATGCCTTCTCTTGCTGTGGAGGGGAAATAATCTGCTACTTCGCTTTTATGCCAGGAATATGTTGCAGCTGCATAAGGGAGTGCTTTGTTCCCATATTCCCTTGTTTGGCCACTTTGGATGACATGTTTTTCCTGTTGTAGATTGGTGACTTGAATAAATTATCAAAATAAAATTGGCAGATGTAGTTCATATTCTTTTTTTCCTCTCCAGTCTCTCTCTTCATGTCATTTCGTTTGACCAGAAAGACGCATGTTTGCCTTTCTTTGTGCTAGTTTCGATCTTAATGTGTGTTGATAGTCCATTCTTATATTCCTCTCTCAGTATAGCTCTTTTTTTCCCCAACAAAAAGCCTTTGGACTACTGTTTCTTAAATGTAAAGATGTGGTCCAACCATTTTCTTAGGACTTTCTGTACTTACCTGGTAATTGATGCACCAGAGCTTGATCTTCTGGGCTTCGATTTAGCAGGCCCAGTAAAAGCCCACTAAATCAAATGCAGATGGAGGAGGAAGGGGAAATTGTTGGGAGAGTTTCTCCTGTCGACCTCCTGCAGTGGGGCCAGCACAGAAATTAGATTTAAGGTACGTCTACTCCAGCTAGGCGATGCTTGTGGCTGGAGTTGCGTATCTTAAATCAAATTTCTCCCCTGACCTTCAGGCTTAGTCTACACTTTACAGCTTTTAAGTGACAGGACATTGCCTGTCAAAACGGGGTGGTGGTGAGGATGGTGCCCTTTTTTAAGTATCTGTGAAGGAAAAAAGTTTTGTCCTTCAATTGGTAGTATAGACAAAGCTTAAGACATTTCCAGCTAGAAGGGATCTTCTAGTCTTCCTTTCTGCTTAGGCAATAGAATTTCAACAAACAAAATCTTAATTGCCTCCATTTGACCACTGATCTGCTGTTGAGGTAATTTCATACTCTGATTTCTTTTTGTCTTCTACATCTACGAAATATTCATTAGGCCTTGAAACACACAACCACTGTTCCAGAAAATCTCAAATGTGTTTTTTATAGCATGAACTGCATATTAACAAAGATATTTTCATGTAGTCTATCATAGAATCCAAGAACTGGAAGGGACTTTGAGAGGTCATCGAATCCAGTCCCCTGCCCTTATCAACTTGCTCTTAAATATCACCAGTGATGGAGATTTCACAACCTCCCTAGACAATTTATTCCAGTGTTTAACTGCCCTGACAGGAAGTTTTTCGTAATGTCCAGCCCAAACCTCCCTTACTGCAGTTTCCCTTTCCTTCTGAATTATGCGGATTATTAATAATGCTTATTTATTATAGTGCTTTTTATAAGTAGATCTTGAAGCATTTCACAACCTTTTAAATGTATTTAATCTTACAACACTCCGAGAGTTAGGGAAGCATTATTTATCCCCATTTTAAAGGTGGGGAACTGTGGCAGAGAGGGGCTTAGTGATTTGCCCAGGATCACACAGGAAGTCCATAGCAGAGCAGGGAACTGAATCTGGGTGTCACCCATTCTAAGCCCATGACCTAGCCCCTGGACAGTCCTTTTATGTCACACTTAAAATTGCACAGTATCCCCATGGCCATTGCTTATGAGGAAAATTAATACTTTACCAGTGTTTTTTAGTGAGTTTTTTAGCTGCAAACAAGGAGAGCTTGCACCATGTGACCAGCTACTTTATCACAAGCTACCAAGTGATTCATAAACTGTTGTTTGAAACCCTATTTTATTAGCTTCCTCAGTATGCAGAAATGTAATGCCTGAAAACAACATAGTGTTCTTTTAGAGTAAGTATTTTGTCAGGTTTCAACTGAACTTGAAGCATATTTGATTAGATTTTTGGAAATTGATTAAGTATACTTTACACCTTTTTGACAAGTGTCTGTGGCAATCACCTGTACTAGATAGGGAAGTTCTTAAATTGGTCACTATTTCTAGAAGGTTAAAATGTCATGTCTTGTAGCTCACACTAGATATGCTCATGGTTTTTTTTCCTCTGTTTAGTTGCTGCCCTATATTAGTAGTGATTGCCAGCTGAGAATTCATCAGTTCTGTAATAGTACACTAAAGGTGAATAAAAATGATTTTATATATACTATATTAAATCTACAAATCCCAATCATCGCAAAAAATCATTAGTGCGTTTAGCTGTCAATCATTGGGATACAGAAACAAAATTAACAGATATTCCCTTTTTTCTGTTTGTGATTATTTTGAAATAAAACTGTAATCCATTTCTTCTGTAAGCAGAAAAGTTATAAAAAGTATCATGGTCTTGACGCTGCTTATATGGTTTTAATATCACACTTAATCAGCATTATTGTAGTGTCATGAATACAAATAGAAACATTTTGAGAGTAGCTGAATGTGACAGACAGCTTGTCATGTTAACTTAAAGGTTCAGAGCTGCCAGCATGGTAAGGCCCTTGTGCACTGCACTTCGGGCATCATTTGACATAAAACCAGATAAAGTGGCATGGGGAAGAATACTTCAGTGTAATGGTGATCCTGTGTTTCTGTTGAGTTGACAATTCACTCTTATGTCACACATCTCTCTCCTGCTGGCATGACAGAGAAGAAAACTGGCTGGAATGCTCCTATACCAGGGGTTGGCAACCGATGGCACGTGCCATCAGTTGCACAGGAGCTGATTTTCATTGGCATGTGGGTGGGAACTCAGTCCTGCCCTTCCCACCTACCCTGCACATCAGGGAGCCTGCACTGCCACTTTAGCCTCACATTTGGCCTGTGCAGGCAGAGCATTCAGCTGATTGGCAGGGCCAGGACGCTGTCAAGCAGCTGCTAAATGGAGCTGCTCCATACTTGAAGGGGAGCAGCAAGATAAGGATGTGTTAATGGCTTAGATCACGGGTGGGAAATAATTTTGGGCCAGGGGCCACTTCAAAAATTTTTGAAGTGCCCCCTGGCATTCGGAAGGGGTGGAGCCTAAATCGGAAGGGAGGGAGCCAGGATGCTTCTGGGCTAACCCACCCCCAGACTGATTGGTCTGGGGGATGGGGAAGCCCCTTTGCCCCCTTCTCTCCCCCCCGTCCCACTAGGCACCCATTCCCCTGGCAGAGCAGGAAGAGGCTTCCCATGCTCCCCCCACCCCCAGGCCAATCATGGCCTAGGGGTGGGGGAGTGCAATATGCCTCCTCCTGCCCTGCGAGGAACATGTGGCACTTTGAAGTGCCGCACACTCCTCACAGGGCCGGGGCAGGGTGAAGGAGGCTTCACACAGCTCCCCTGTCCCCAGGCCCTGTTTGGCCTGAGGGCAGGGGAGCGCAAAGCCTCCTCCCGCCCTACCCATGCCCTGCGAGGCGCACACAGCACTTCAGAGTGCCATGTGCTCCTTACAGGGCGGGAGGAGGCTTTGCATGTTCTCCCTCCCCTCCCCCCCAGGCCAATCAGGGGCTGGGGTGGGGAACCTGTGTGAAGCTTCCTTCTCCCTGCCCCCGCGCCGCGCTCCTTGTAGCACTTTGAGATACCGTGTGCTCCTTGCAGGGGCAGGACGAAGTTGCGTGCGCTCCCCTGCTCCCAGGCCCTAATTGGCCTGGGGATGGGGGAGTGGTAGGGCCTTTGCAGGCCCGATCAACTTGCTTGGCTGGCCGGATTTGGCCCGCAGAGGCCCTTTTGCCCATCCCTGGCTTAGATTAAGAAACACCTAAAGAGACAGGTGTCTAATGGAAATTGCGTTTATTTTCATTTGCCTTTTAATGGGAGTGAGACATCTGGGTTTTCTGGAGTGCAAAGCAGGTTAGGCATGTATCTGCATCTTCGGGTGCCCAAATACCTGTGTATATCTGGATCTAGATCTAAAAAACAAAGCTAAAGGCTCTGATGGGAATTGTCAACAAGAGCATAACTCATGATTTTCCCTTGTGTTACCAGAACTGGCGGAAATATGATGACCTATTTTCAGAGGGGAAAAACAAAGTATGAATTCATTTTCATTTTAAAGTGTGCCAAATGGACCCAATTTTATTTTCCCCCTTTTTCAAAATGTCCTACGTCTCTTCTATTTCTTCCCACTCCCCGAAAAAGTTAGTGAAATTTTTCCTTTACAAAAAGCGCCTCCAAAAACTGGTGCTAACTAGTTATAAAAGGTTTTGAAGTTTGAGTTTGTGAAAATACATGACATTTTTTACACAAGAGGAACCATTTTGACAATGTTGACAGTTTGGGATGAGACAGGTTTGTTTTAGAAAAGAGTCCTTTCCTGCTCCCTGAAAGAAAAAATACTAAAAATTGGAACCAGCTCAGTATTACACTCAGACACTTGGGTGCAGCTTCAGCTTCCCTAATTGCTACCAGGAGGTGTGTGTGCTCTACACCTTATTGCAGCGAGTTTTTAACTGCAGTGCAAACCTACCCTCAACACACTAACTCAGCTAAAGGTAGTGTGTGTATGTCTCCTTGAACTGTAACTTAGACCTCCACCTGTAGTGTAGATGTACCTTTATGGACTTATCTGAGCTCACTCAAGAAGTCTGTGATGGAGCAAGCATTAAGCCTGTGTATCCCAAAGTAAGAAAGAAAAAGATTCTAACAGAATTTTTTTGGAGTGTTGTAGATATCTAAAACTCTGATCTTAGTGATTTTAAAAAAAAAACTTGTTACTAAAATGGTCAGATCTGTATCTTTATTTATTAATTAAGCTGCTGTAAGTAGGACTATTATTGATATTTAAAAAGTATTGATGGCGCACAGACCTGTAAATAGAAGTGAAATAAGTTAAATCTCGGCATACTACAGGCAGTCCCCGGGTTACGTACAAGATAGGGACTGTAGGTTTGTTCTTAAGTTGAATTTGTATGTAAGTCGGAACTGGTACATATTGTAGGGGAAACTCTAGCCAAACATTTCTCCAGAGCTCACTTTTATTCTCCCACACCTCACTTCCCTCAGTCCTTTATTTTCAAGTTGAGGTGTCTGCTGAGAAAAGCCGCTCCGCGTCTCCCTGGTCTGCTGGGGGGAGGGGCTAGCTTCGCGTCTCCTTGGTCTGCTGGGGGGAAGCAGCTAGTGCGGGGTTGCCTCACCCCGTTTGTAAGTAGGGATCCGATGTAAGTCGGATCCATGTAACCCGGGGACTGCCTGTACTTCTAAAAGGTTGCTGACCCCTGTCCTATACTATTCCAAACCTGTTTACTTTCAGAATGCTTTTGCTGGTACAGCATAGGGGAACTGGTCTGCCAACAAAAGTCTGGAGAAGTCCTAAGATGAGATTTAGCTATTTGCACAACTACCCTTGACTTGATGTGTATGCTTTTGCATATACTGTAAGAAGAGATTGTCTAATATCTCTAATTTTACATTAGTCAATGTAGAAATCT